GGCACTAGAAGCTTTCTTGGGGCCCATGGTCACTTATTTTCCAGAAAAAATCACCAAAAACACTGTAATAATACAAAATGTTCCGATTGTATGCTTGGATGTTACCGCGGAGGCTGGCTGGTAAACAATGCCACCGGCGGAACATGTGAGCGTGGCTCAGGCCGCACATTGGACGCGTCTCGGACGAAGGGCGGTGAGCGGGTTTTTGGGCGGTATGCAAGGCAAAATTTTTGCGATCAAAGCGTCCGGTATGCGGATTGTACGGTATGCGATGCGTCCGGTATGCGGGGGTCCACTGTATATTTTTAGAACCCCTCCCTTCTCTTTTTTCTTCCTGCTGATTTCTGTTCCTCCATTATGCCTGTTACTCTCCTTATCACCTAATGCCATTGGCTTTCCTATGTTCACCAATAACTCTACCTCATTCTGCCTTTAACTGGTTTCCTTAAAACTCACACTATGGTTACACTCAGAATACACGTACATTGATTTTTCACGAAAACCCATACCACTATCTATTTCTAGTTTAAAGACCTAACAGCTCCCTCCACTGCATTGGCCAGTGCTCCCACCCCAAACCTAGATAAGTGAACTCCATCTCTGGCATACATGTCGTTTCTGCCAAAGAAGAGATCCCAGTTGCCTACGAATGTTACTGCATTTTCCTTAGTGTTTGTCCAGCCAGCAGTTGACACAGGGTTCCCACCCTCCTTCCTCGCCTCTATTGCTGACCTATACCTGCTAATCAGGTCTTCACTCCTACGCCTGCCAGCATCATTGCCTCCCGCACTGAGACAGATAATAGGATTACTCCCATTACCCTTCATGATATTGTCCAGACGGCTAACAACATCCCTCATCCCAGCCCAAGGAAAACATACCCTCTGCCTCCTCTTCCTGTCCCTAAGACAAAATGCCCTATCCATAAATTTCACTTGACTGTCCCCAACTAAAACTATGTTCTTACCTTCACTGGTGGAGTTCGTAGTGACGTTCTCGATGGTCTTCGTTGGGGTTTCGAGGTATGTCGACTAAACCCTCCTCTGCCAATGATTCCTTGGTACTCATTGTGGCGTTTCCAGTAGACAACATACATATGTCGGGTAGCACTGAAAATGGGTTGGAAGTCTCCACAGCAGACTTCTGGATCTTCGTTGTTTCCGCCACTCCAACAGTCTTCTTGATTTTCAGTTCGTTACATGTTGGCCAGCCACTGACCAGGTTCCTCTCTTGACCTGAGGACTCGCAACAGGAGGATTACTTAAAATCCTCTTGTTTTCCTCCGTCAGTTGCCGTATCTCAAGCTTAGCAACCCTAAGCTCCTCTTTTAGCTGCTGGTAGAGTTGCTCAAGAGAGGACATCTTGTGCAGATTTGCTGGCCTTAAATTCACTAACAGCAGCACTTATTCCTGGCATTTCCTTTATGAAATCCACATGCGACTGCCTTACCTTCTCGCAAATTATCTCCTCAAACACCATCTCCCGCTAACTGCTGCTTATTTATCCAAACCAACGACAACTTCTCCACATCCTCGATTGTTTGTGATCTGTTTCTTTAGCAGGATGATGATAAACTATGTACGATTGCAGTAACTAGTGACATGGTCCTCAGACAAATAGAGAAACTAAAACCTAACAAATCCCCAGGTCCTGATGAACTGTTTGCAAGGGTGTTAAAGGAATGTAAAGAGGAACTTAGCATACCTTTGGCTAATCTTTTTAACATATCACTACAAACTGGCATAGTGCCTGATAAGTGGAAAATGGCAAATGTAATACCTATTTAAAAGGCAGGTGACAGGTCCTTGGCTTCGAACTATAAACCAATAAGCCTTATCTCCATAGTGGGAAAATTTATGGAATCAATAATTGCCGAAGCAATTTGTAGCCATCTTGACAGGCACAGATTGATTAATGATTCTCAACACGGTTTTACAAAGGGGCGTTCCTGTCTTACGGATTTACTAACTTTTTTTACTAAGGTGTTTGAGGAGGTAGATCATGGTAATGAATGTGAAATTGTGTATATGGACTTCAGTAAGGCTTTCGATAGAGTTCCACACCAGAGGCTATTGAGGAAACTTAGGGCACACGGAATAGGAGAATTTTTTTCCTGGGTAGAGGCGTGACTGACAAATAGACAGCAGAGAGTTTGCATAAATGGGGAGAAATCAGAATGGGGGCACGTCACAAGCGGTGTTCCTCAGGGGTCAGTGTTGGGCCTGTTGTTGTTCACAATTACATAAATGACATAGATGAGGGAATAAATAGCGACATAAGCAAATTTGCTGATGACACCAAAATAGGCCGTCTAATTCATTCTAATGAGGACATTAGAGCACTCCAGGATGATATGAATAGACTGACGCAATGGTCGGAGAAGTGGCAGATGCAGTTTAATATTGACAAATGCAAAGTTCTAAGTGTTGGACAGTTAAATACCCATGCCACATATAAACTAAATAATGTAGATCTTAATACTGCCGATTGCGAAAAGGATTTAGGAGTTCTGGTTAGCAGTAATCTAAAACCAAGACAACAGTGCATTAGTGTTCGCAATAAAGCTAACAGAATACACAAATAACCCGCACAAAAAAGAGAGAAGCTTACGACGACGTCTCGGTCCGACTTGGACCATTTACAAAGTTGGACCGAAACGTCGTTGTAAGCTTCTCTCTTTTTTATGTGCGGGTTATTTGTGTATCGTTCCAGTCACAGTATTGTGCCTTTTTTTGTTATTTAAGCTAACAGAATTCTTGGCTTCATATCCAGAAGTATAAATAATAGAAGTCCTCAGGTTGTTCTTCAACTCTATATATCCTTTGTTAGGCCTCATTTAGACTATGCTGCTCAGTTCTGGTCACCGTATTACAGAATGGATTTAAATGCTCTGGAAAATGTACAAAGGAGGATGACGAAGATGATCCCATGTATCAGAAATATTCCCTATGAGGATAGACTGAAGGCCCTGAATCTGCACTCTCTCGAAAGGCGTAGAATTAGGGGGGATATGATCGAGGTGTATAAATGGAAAACAGGAATAAATAAAGGGGATGTAAATAGTGTGCTGAAAATTTCCAGCCAAGACAGGACTCGCAGCAATGGTTTCAAGTTGGAAAAATTCAGATTCAGGAAGGATATAGGAAAGTACTGGTTTGGTAATAGAGTTGTGGATGAGTGGAACAAGATCCCGAGTATAGTTATTGAGGCTAAAATGTTGTGTAGTTTTAAAAATAGGTTAGATAAATACATGAGTGGGTGTGGGTAGGTGTGAGTTGGACCTGACTAGCTTGTGCTGCTGGGTCTGGTACAGTGCTCCATCCTTGAGTGGGGATGACCAGACTGGGTGGGCCATTGGGATAATCCGGGGGGGGGGGGGACATGGACCTGCTCCACATGGGTCAGTAGGCCTGTTGCAGTGTTCCTTCTTTCTTATGTTCTTATGTTCTTTCGCAACATCAGTTTCCTTGATTTCTGCTTTCTTCACCAGGACGGAACTGATTGTTGATGTCAACTTCCCATACATTCTTGCGAGCTCGGGTACACGTATGCCACTTTCATGTTTTGCTATAACTTTTCTTGAATTCTGTCGTGTTTCTCACCTTCTTTACCAAAGGGCTGGCACTAGGAACTTTCTTTGGCCCCATGGTGGCTTATTTCACAGTTACAATCAATAAACAAGCACCAGAAAAATGGATGAACACGAGGAGCATTCCCAAGTCAACGAGAGAGACGCGCAGACTGGGTGTGATACGCATGAGGAAGCGGCATCACCAACAATTTCTGAGTGGATTCACGATATCCGGGGGGAAATTTCGGCGAAAAAAAAGTGCTCGATTTCCGAATTGTATGATTTCTGCACTGGTTAAAAACTGGGGGTCCACTGTATTATCTTCCATTCTATCAAATGAGACCAAGAAACTGAGAATACAACCATAAACACTGCAAAATTGCTGTTTTAAACAAAAAACACTTGTTTTTTTCCCCTATTATGCACTGTTTGCTGCAGGATTTTTTTTATATATGGTGCACAGTTTTTGCATAGACCCATTCTCTCGTATCTAGGCCTAGATTTACTGCTCGCAGCTTATCTGAGTGAGCTGAGCTCATGGCGTAGTACTGCAGGACCAACTTGCACTTCAGAGCCGTAGTAAGACATAACCCACCCCGAAAGGGTTAAAAAAGTTAAAAGTAAACACTGTAGACATTCCAGGCACTGAAACATTTCCACTGTTCAATAATCACAAACCCCAGGCTTCTATATTTTGCTTGCCTTCCATTTTTAATTCACTGTCACAAAATTGATATGCCATATTTTTTGAATGATAAAATATAACCAAGAATGATTGTTGTAGTTTACAGTATCCCGATCTAGTAAAGATTCATAAAACAGACCAGCGGGTGTGTGTGTGTGGGGGGAGGGGGGGGGCTAATCCATCCTCAGGAAAATTGGCAAAATTTCAAACTACTTCTGGTCCTGGAAATGACCAATATCATCTTTACTTCAGTATGTCCTTCATTCTAGCAAATGATACCAAGAAACATCCAATAAAACCATAAGAAAAATCCTAAAAGGCACCTCAGTTATTTTAAACCAAATACAAAATAAGAATTTTCTTTTTCCATTCTGCATCCTGTGGGCAGGATTTGTTTTTATAACTCTGCACTCTCCCTACACAGAGCCATTCTCTCATATCTAGGCAAAAATTTACCACATAACTTACCTGAGTAAGCTGAGCTCAATGCTTAGATATTCGGAAGAGACAGTGAAAGACCTTATTTTGGCACTATTTGATGGAAATAAATTTATTCATTTTACTCAAATTGTTAATACTTGTACTTTTTACTGCTTTCTTCCTGTTGCTGAACTGCATTAAAGTTGTACGTTGATTAGTCTGGTCATTATTTGCTGTCTTTAGATGTAGTAAACTTTGTAAATAATTGTTAAAACTTCTTTTGGAACATTTATTTTTGTATTAAAATGTTTATTTTTGGTTTAGTTCCAGACAGTGGGTCCTCACCGTCAAGCAGCACCACATACACAACCTGGGCAGTTCCACCCATCCCCGATGCCACAACCTCACCCACAGGGTCACTACCAGGCTATACAGTACCACCAACCTCAGGGAGGTAAGCACGAGGCTACTTCCCCTCTCCAGTACCGGCAGCCTCATGGAGGTAAGCATTGTGTGTGTTCCATAGTTTAGGGCTTGTCCCAGTCTTTGCACTATTTTTTAAGTTTAAAGGAGCATTTGGGCTTAATCTAGCTTCTAAGTAAGTGTACTTATGGGAGAGCTTTAGTTGTGACAAATTCTGGTAGTCTCGTATGTGTTTGTGTATGTGTGTTTGTGACTACCCATTTGTTGTTGTAGGAGCAGAGTTATTCTAGTGTTCCATCCTCATTGTTAAAGCTAATTTTTTAAAAAATATTTAGTAGTTGAAGCACTTGTTGTACTACTTCCATTCGAATCTCTCTCATTCACAGTAATGGCAAAGGTTGGTAATTGGAGAAAGACACTTTAAGCCTGTTTAATGACATTTTATCTGTGGGGGATTGTAACATATGAACAATAACACAGAGCTCTTGTAATCAAACATAGCTCCTTTGCATAAGGAGGTAGTAGAGCACTAGCTAAAAATTATGGATGAATAGCACTGACTTCTAACATCATAAAAATCTAAGAGTGAGATGACAAATTACAAACTTCATGAAATGGCACAGTCTGCAGAACCCAAGCCAACAGGGAATTAGAACTGGATAATCATGCCTGTCACAGCTGCTGAACCACTGTGACAAAATGTGGAGCCAGTAGAAGAAAACCAAAATGCAGATTTGACATACAGATTTTGCAAAGGTGTTTGACATGTGCAATTGTGGGGGCCTCAAAGTGGAGGCCTGTGAAAATTTAACCAACCCCCTCAGCTCACAATCAACAATGTTTAGGTTATTGCTGTGGCAGATCTAGAAGAGTAAAAGTTGTGTAAGTAGATGTGCCTATACAACTTTTGGAGCTGATTTCAAAAATCACAGTCCTCAAAGTTGCATGCTTTTACTTTTTTCACATCATGAAACTTAAGTACACAAAAAATTGTCACATAAAATTGAACCTCTAATTCAGCTGCCTGTATCTCTTAAGTGAAAACATTATTTTAGCATATTGAAGCCAGCTAGCTACCCAAGTGAACATCATCACAATTCTAAAATATCGGACTCCTAATGTTTCAAGTTCCTGTCCTAACTATACCTAAAAATACCATTTTTGAAGACCAATAGCAGAAAAGCAGCACAACAATTTTCTTTAAAAAAAAAAAAAAAAAAAACTTGATTAGAAAGACCATATTCTAAACTACAATATGTCCATTTTTTGGATAGGCATTTTGCCCATGAAGGGAGAAAACAGGCATTAAAATAAAGCGATTTTTGGCTTGCGCAACATTATAATGAAAACTTGGCATTTTTCAGTTATTGTTGTTAGAGAGCAACAACAGCTAGAACCTCATGTCTAGGTGTCCTTGTACAATTCCCTTTTACTTACCCTACCAAACACATCCATCAACCTCTGCAACTTCTCTTCAGAATCTCTCAAAAGCGGTGTCATCAGGAGAAAGCAACTGTGGTGACACCCACTTCGTGTTAGATTCTTTATCTTTCAATCTTATTCCTCTTGCCAACACCCAAGAATTCCCTTCTCTTACAACCCCATCTCTAAATATATTACATGAACAATCATGGTGACATTACACATCCCTGTCTAAGGCCTACTTTTACTGGGAAATGCTCTTTCTCTCCTTTCTCTCTCTCCTTTCTCTCTCCTTTCTCTCTCCTTTCTCTCTCTCCTTTCTCTCTCTCCTTTCTCTCTCTCCTTTCTCTCTCTCCTTTCTCTCTCTCCTTTCTCTCCTTTCTCTCTCTCCTCTCTCTCCTTTCTCTCCTTTCTCTCTCTCCTTTCTCTCTCTCCTTTCTCTCTCTCCTTTCTCTCTCCTTTCTCTCTCTCTCCTTTCTCTCTCCTTTCTCCTTTCTCTCTCCTTTCTCTCTCTCCTTTCTCTCTCTCCTTTCTCTCTCTCCTTTCTCTCTCTCCTTTCTCTCCTTTCTTTCTCTTTTTTTTTTTACACAGGGTTTGACAAGGTTAAGGATCCCTAGCTTTATTGACAGCTATTTACAGGTTAAGGATTCCTAACTTTATTGGCAAGCTAAGATCTGTTACCTACATCAGCTCATTTGAAAGCATTTTTATTGTTATGAGACATACAAGTAGGAAACAGGATGAAGTTGGAGCCATCTGTGGGCCAGCATTTTCATTTGATCAACTGACTTTATCTCGTTGACATCATTATGCTGTACGAATGTGTTCCATACTCTAGTCATCCTGGTATGTATGATCTCAGATGGAGTGATGTTCTGGAGAAGGGTACGGCCAGAGTGAAGTTGCTGCTTTCTGCCCGTCTTGTGGCATAAAAGCTTGTTTCACGCTGTCCTCACGTGTCTCTCTCTCTCTCTCTCTCTCTCTCTCTCTCTCTCTCTCTCTCTCTCTCTCTCTCTCTCTCTCTCTCTCTCTCTCTCTCTTTCTCTTTCTCTTTCTCTTTCTCTTTCTCTTTCTCTCTCTCTCTCTCTCTCTCTCTCTCTCTCTTTCTCTCTCTCTCTTCTCTCTCTCTCTCTCTTTCTCTCTTTTTCTCTCTTTTTCTTTCTCTTCTTTTTTTCTTTTTCTCTTTTTTCTTTCTCTTTTCTTTCTTTCTCTTTCTTTCTTTTCTCTTTCTTTCTTTCTTTCTTTCTTTTCTTTCTCTTTCTCTCTTTTCCCCTTTTTCTTTCTCTTTCTCTCTTTATCTTTCTCTTCTCTTTCTCTTTCTTTCTTTCTTTCTCTTTTTCTTTCTTTCTTTCTCTCTCTCTCTCTCTCTCTCTTTCTCTCTCTCTTTCTCTTTCTTTCTCTTTCTCTCTCTCTCTCTTTCTCTCTCTAGAATTGGTTCAGGACAGCAAGAGACATAATTAGGAAGAAAGGGGGGAGGGGCGTCCTGTTATACGGGGCATTTTGCCAAGGAGTGGTGTTGGAAATGAATAGTTGTCCAGGGCAGGTGTGGGTTTTCTTGCTGGCTCAGTTGAGGGGGTTGTTAGGACTTTAAACTAGGATTAGTTAGAGGTGTGGGTTTAGAAATGAAAAATAATGAGTGTGGATATATTGATTTAGGCTTTGATATTATGAATCTTAATAATAACAGTCATGGAATAACGCTGGGTAATGATAATTTCAGAAATTGTGTAAAATCAAAGGTGAATAAGAAAAATGTGCAGAAGAAAAAACATATGATGGTATTTTATGCTAACAGTCGAAGTGCAAGAAATAAGATTAATGAACTACGTTTGGTAGCGTGTGCTGGGAAATCTAATGTCATTGCATTAACTGAAACGTGGTATGATTTAAAGAGTCGGGATATGATTGCTGAGTGTATTATTAACCCTTTGACTGTTTCCAACGTATAAATACGTCTTGCGAGCCAATGTTTCTGACGTATTTATACGCACAAATTCTAGCGGCTTCAAATCAAGCGCCAAAGGTCTGGTAGGCCTACACGAGAGAGAATGGGTCTCAGTGGTCGGTGTGCACCCTGTGAAAAAAATCTGGGACCCAGCGGTGCATTGTGGGAACGCCATGTTGTTAGTCCATTTTCACCATGCCTCTCGGTAAGAAGTTCCTCATTCCTCGGCGGATTGGAGGTCTTTTGTTCCCAAGTGATAGCTCTAACAGCGATGAAAATGTCAGTGACAGTGAATTCCAGGGTTTTGAAGTGAGTGTTACCGGAAAAAGTGCCCAGGATAACGTAATTAGTGATGAAAACCCAGATGACCCACAACCTTCCACCTCTGGTGCTGTGCTGGCTTGTTCACGTTCACGTTCGCCTGTACCAGGACGAAAGAGGAAACTATTTGGTCGTGTACAACACCCAGATGATAGCAGTGATAGTGATTTCAAGGTCATTGAAAGCAGTTCTAGTGACAGTGAGAGTGAATATTCCCCAGTGAAGCGGCAGTATGTACGACGTAGCATGCGGTCTGGTAGTGTTTCATATGTTGTTCCAAGGGGAAGGAGAAACTCTGGGAGCACATCCCGTGGCCCTACACCACGACCTGATAGTGAAGATGACGATATTGTAACGATGGGTATGAATGGTGACAGTGAGGGAGGAGGCAGTGGTGGTGATAGTGAGGGTGGCACGGCCCATGTGGCACCATCAGCGGGCCACGCTACTACCCACGCTGCTGATGCAGCACAACAACCAGCCTCACCCTGCCCCACACTCCCACAACCTGCACCACCACAACTTGCACCACCACAACCTGCACAACCACAACCTGCACAACCACAACCTGCACAACCACAACCACGGTACAATATCCAGACCCCACCAGCAGACCGCATCTGGGATTGGCAGGACGGTGACGAGTTTGTTCCCAGTCCCCATGACTTTGAGGAAACACGAAGTGGAATAAAGCCATCTTGTCCACTTGGGAACAATGCCAGTGAACTGGACTGCTTTGAGTTATTCTTCGATGAACCCCTGATGAACATCATTGTCAGGGAAACAAACACATACTGTGATTACACAATGGCAAATACAATTCTCTCACCAAAATCACGGCTACACAAGTGGAAGGAGACAACTGTGGCAGAGATGTACCTGTTTTTTGCCACAATAATGCTTATGCCACATGTGTATAAGCACACTGTCACCACATACTGGGCAACAGAACGCCTGATTTCAACTCCAGGTTTTAGTGACATTATAGGTGTCAATCGTTTCCTGATACTGTTACGTATGTTGCACTTTTCAGACAAAACCAGGCCTGACAGAAGCGACAGGTTATATAAGATCAGAAATGTGTTTATGTACCTGAAACAAAAGTGCTGCATGTATTTTTATCCCTTCAGGAAGCTTGTTATTGATGAGTCCTTGATTTTATTCAAAGGAAGACTCTCATTCAAGCAGTATATACCAAGCAAGAGGAAACGCTTTGGTATAAAGCTATTTGTACTATGTGATTGCAGAAGTGGTCTAGTTTTGGATATAATTGTGTACACTGGCAGTAATACTTTGAGAGATACCATGAAGTTATTGGGTATCTCTGGTGATGTGGTTCGAACAATGATGGAACCATATCTTGGTAAGGGGCATATGTTATTTACTGATAA